AAAAAGTCGTGAGTTTTCTAGCAGCAAAATAAAACAGAAATTCTGTCCAAAGTCTTCAACAGCCAGACAAGGTTATAGATGCAATAAAGTAACCATGATACTTGTTTTTGCTGATAATTCGACTTACTGTACTTGCATACTACTGTCCAAATGCTGCAAGGAATGTCAAGAAAGCAGATGTGCCATCTTTATTGATGTGAATGACATTGAATGTCAGTCTAAGCCTGAACTAACCTGGACTACATTGCTACAGTTGCCCATCTAGCCATATCATTTGTGCAGTGACTCTTTCTAGCTATCTTTAATGCTTTCCAAATGCTAAACTTGACTTGATTACACAGGTAGGTCAAGAACTACACTGCACTCAATCAAGTTCTGAGCTGCTTAAGTCGCACTGTCATGAGTATTGTTATTCTGTCAATATCTGTTGTATGTTCATTGCTTTAATTGCTTAGGCTAGTCCCTTCAATGTGTTACATTTGTCTAGTAATTTTAAAAGTCCAATATCAATCATTATCAAAATTACAAAAATTGGCAATATCGCCCATTACTATTCTGTTGTCATAAAAATGAACTAGTAGGTGCAGACCAAGTTAAACAAGTCCTATGATAGGCAACAAGATTAGTTAGTCATTTAATGCATTCTGTTTGTGCGTCAGAGTTGTGTCAGGACACTAGTGGCTAGTCTGGTCCCTTCTCTTCTTTGCGCAGGGGTGTCACAGAAGAGTTTGGTGACACTGCTACCAAATTTGCTGCAGAAGGGAAAGCAGTAATTAGTAATTATAGTTATTAAAATGTTCTGTCGCATCATAACTTTTTTGAGGCTTTTCTGGACACCTTGAATGAGGACAACAGCAGTACTAAAAGGCAAGACAAAATCCATCAGTTTGTAGTTAAGTCAAGGACAATATATGCGGAAGTGAAGATAGAAAATTATCAGCCAAGTTTTAAATGAGAATTCTTCATATTCTTCTGTTACTTCCTCTGCAGTTACTTACTGTTCCTGTGCTAGCTTTTATTGTATATACAACAGGTTTGTCAGTGATACAGGCAGGCATTTTGAATAGGTCACATGAAAATAGTGCAGCAATCTGATTGGAACTCTCAATCCTGTGCTTAGTGCCACAAATTCTCCAGTAGTGTCATCAGACTCAACCAGCATTGTGACTGTAATTGCGTCCATCCATAGATATTCAGGACCTGGTCTTTTGACTTGACGTTGAGATTGTCTGCTTAATGTTGCAGAATAAAATTGCAGTTTACGTGGAGGAATATATGCTCAAGATGAATGTGGTGTAGTATCTGTGAATGGCCGTCAGTCACAAGCTGTCACTTGGGTGTTTAATTCTGCCTTATCTTGCTTTGTGTTCATTTGACGAGTCATAATTGTCGCTGTAACTTTCTGTTTCTTTGTCAACGTCCAATTCATCACCACCATTACTAGACTAATTAGTGGCATACAGCACAGTAGAATTCTCTGATAACAGCATGAGACTCAATAGCTATGCAAATCTTTACTAGAATAGTAAACTGAATCTCCGTGAGCTCAGTATAGTACTACACCTTTCATTTTGGCAATCATTTTGACTCAAGGACAAGATGTTTTCCTTTTTTTGTCATTTGTGGACTGTGGATTAATATAGGTAACTTGTGTTAAAAGTTTACCTGCAAATCTGTAACCATCAATTGAGATGTGACTGTTTAATATAACAATGAACAAATAATCAAGAATGCTGTTGATTACATTTAAGATGAAAATGGCCTCGTGTAGCAAGAAGTAACTAGCTGAGTTGAAATGCGCTCTATGTACTTGTGCACCACAGGCGGCTACAAAATTTTGAACTAATCTGGGTTCATTCATCATTCATAAAAATTATGGGTGTGGTCAATTAGTAACATGATTAAGACGTCATTATTATAGCTCAAAAAAGCAACTTACGACCTAATAAGTGCGAAGTGGAGCTAATAGCAAGTATAAACTGTTGTGGCTATAAAACATGAATTCTAGTGATGATCTTCTCATAATATCAAATCCCACAATTTGGGCGTAGTTTTTATTAAAATTTACCCACGCAAAGCCCTGGCTTTACAATGGCTATAGCCGCCTATGTTGTGCACACCTATCCCACTGTACCTAAAGTACTATGTATGTCATTCTGCACTTGTGTATTACCCATCCCACTGTACCATAGGATTAGTGGAATCATGTCCAGCAATTGCAATGGAACTTCCGGTCGCATTAATTTAATGATATTCATTGGAATTACCATAGCAACGGCAGCTCAGCAATGGTGGATTGATAGGAAGCTTCACTACAAAGCCTGCTAACGTCTTTCTGGTTCATGGATGGGACTTCACTAGATACTTGGAGCTTCTTGAATGCTACTTAATGCAATTGGTTATGGTAGTTTTTTCATATTCTTTTGTTAAAGTGGCAGGCGTGGCGCAAGAAGACTCATCCACTAACAAACGGCCTTCTTGTTATTACTTTAAAGGATCAAGAGACATGATTTGCTTGTGTAGCTGTTAAGCACTCTTAGTTTTACATTATTATTCCTATGAGAAGAGAACAGCACTTGTTCACTCTTGTTGCTGCACCCGTTATCACTGAGATGACTAAAATTATTTCACCTTTAGAAGACAAAAGTTCCAAACAAAGTTTTGAATTTCTTTATCTTTTTTGCATGATTGGGCAGTAAAAATGTTGTACTTCCACAAGGTAAGTGCGCAATTTGTCAAAAATTGTTTGAAATTTAGATATAACCATTCAAAAAGTAAAAAAATTATCATACATACATAAAGGAATGACAAAATGGCGGCACTGACTGCCTCATCTTTAATCTGTAAATGTTCCACACAAAGTTACTCCAAGTGCTGTCATATTTAGCAGGAACACAGGTATAATTATGGACAACAGCTACTGAAGTGCGCAAATTGATGAGACTTATTCTGAAGAAAGATATAGCCTAGTAAATGGAAATGTCCATTCCTGCCCTGTATAAAGTCAACCAGTAGTATACGGAGATAATTGCTCAGTATACTAATCCATGTCCACTCATTGCTGGACATGTATCTTATGTTTATCCCATGTACCCACTGCACACGTTATGTACTTACATGCACTATAAAAATTACCTATCCCACCACACCATTGGACGAGTTCATAACTATTCTATACTCCTCAATCCTGGTTGCCCATCAATAAGTCTCTTTGATGGGGTATCACAACACTAATTACAAACAAGAAACACATATTAATCGCATGCAAAACTAGGCTGCTACATCATTTGTAATTTCTACGTAAGTGACAAACTGAATCATTCTATTGAAGTAACATAAATGTTTGAAGCTGATTTTAAATTTTTAAAGCTAGGTAATTTTCATGACAACTATGGCTTTTTAGGAGTTAATTATCTTCTGATACAGTGAAATCTGTGCCAAAGGTCACTTGAGTAGTGAGGCCACTTCTCTATTACAGCCAGAAGCCAAAATTCAGATCCAGACCTGTAGAAAAGAATTAACTATTGACTTGTTTAATGCATCCATATGTAATATGCAAAGCAGCTGCTGGTCCAAGTCCCTTTTGTTGTGATGAAACCTTACTACTGCAACCAACCAGAAACTGCACCCATTATTAATTATTCTAGAGCTTATTTTTTTGATTCAGTTTAACAGTAATTTAATAATAGTACGTGTCAGTGATATCAATCCATGAAATCACTTTCTTGACCGGTATAAACTGGACATTCCTTTACATAATGGTCAATCGCTGTATTACAGAGGCTGATCTGTAATACACCCACCTGCACAATCAGGCCATTTAGAACTGGCTCAAGTAGGATCCACTCTACTTGACTCTTATGTTGTTGCTCATTATTTGCATCCTCATCCTTACTGTAGTCACAGTATAACATTATTTGAAGACAACAATGAAGTAATCCTCTTTGTATAGTCAAGGAGTGAAACTTTATGTTTATACAACCTTCAGGAAGCTGAATTTTAACATTTTTATCCTCAGGGTACATCTTCTATAGAATCTCCAATGTCTGAATGACTTTATTCATTACAATAACAAATATTAGATTTAACATACATTTATTTAGACTTTAGAGTTTTTATAAATGATATGTATATCTTCAAGTGCATTTAATTAAAGTATCTTGCATTTCTTAACATTTATATTAATGCCAGAGCTTCTCAATCTAATTTGAAGGTACCATGTAGAGCTTTAATTTGGCGGAGTTTTATATTGATGATTGGCAA